TATTATTAATATTATTATTATTATTATTATTATTATTATTATTATTATTATTATTATTATTATTATTATTATTATTATTATTAATAAACGAATAAGCCTGATTAAATATGGCTTAATGTAGTATTTGTTACAATTAAATAAATTTTCTTTTCTGATATAATCCAGTTATCGATAATATCTTTAACAATAGTACATACTTAGTATTGGAGAACATAGATCAATGCTGAGTAAAATAAATAAAATATTTAATTAAGATTCCCTCGCGTGTCTCGTTCAAATTGTCCAAATATGAAAAGAAAAAAAATGTCTTTTAAAAATATTTATCTTGCTTTTTCAAAAAAAAAAAAAAGAAAAAGAAAAAAAAAGAAAAACTTATTGTAAAACAAAAAAAGCAGAGAATTTAAGAGAAGAAGTCATTCACTAATTAATTTTTGGCTTTATAAATATATGCTTGTTCTTTGTTTATTGGCTATTAATGATAATTATATTGTACAGTAAAAGTTTATTTATTTTCTTAATCTATATTTCTAAAAAATAAACTTTAAATAAATAAAAAAAACAAAACAAAACGCATGTTCTCGTTACACGTATGCTTGTCCTATGTTTGTCGCCGTTAGGAAAGAAAATGAAAAAAAAAAAAAATAAAACATAAAAAACAATATGTCTTTGTATTAAAGTTTTTCTATATATATATATATATATTATCTATAATATATTAAAAAAAAAAAAATAATAAATAATACAAATATGTATTTATGATGTTCCGAATGCAACACGAATGTTTCTAAACGTAATTAAATGAGGGCAAAAAAAAAATAACAAAACACATTACTAAAAATATCTCGCCAGTTCTATCAAAATAGTTCACTTAAGATGACTCCATATTGTATAAAAAAAAAAAAAAAAAAAATCGTAGTGGCGCTTAGCAATTAGCTGTTATTTAGAGTTTGTATGTTTCCTTTGGCTGATTTTATAGCAAACAAAACAACGTGACCAACAACCTGTTAGACCTGTCAGAATTCGATACTCTGAGTAATAACAGTAGTGGTCCAACGCTTGAATTGACGCTCAACAACATGGCCACGGAAGATACCCTCAACTCGAATTTGAATCCAGCCGCAACACCATTCACACCTTTGGCAAATACCTTTACATCTGCTGGTGCTAACGCCAACATCAATCCTTTCCAAGATGCTTACGTAAATAACAAACAACAAGACAGCAATCAAATGTCAGGTATTACGACGATCAATTAATTTTCAAATATTCCCTTTTTTTAACTCATTTAGATCTAAATTAAAGTTCATTCAAACAAAATTATTAAAGTACTCGCTTAATTTAACATGTATGAGACAATTTGATTTCCCAGCAATCCTTTACACAATTTTTTTTTTTTTAGAATAATTTTGGACAAAATGAATTATTTCCATTCTAAATGGGTTAAATGTAATTAATGAAATATTAATTTATTAATGAATTGTTATTTCACAGATCTTTTGTCCTAAGATTTATCTAAAATCTTCTGAGATGAGCAATGGAGAGGAAAAAAGAGAGAGAGAAAGAGAGAGAGAGAGAGAGAGAGAAAAGAAAAACAAAAAAAATTGGAGTCGGTGTCCAGTGTGTCTGTGGCAATGGGATATATGTTCGAGTTAATAAAACATCGTTTACTGATAATGTATATAAGCGCTTTGATGTATGTAGAAAATGAGGATCCCAACTAGAATGAAGAATGATAAAATAGGACGATAGTTCAGGGAAAATTATTTTACCCTTAAATCATTGAACTTTAAGCGTTATTATCGATGGAAATGTAAAATAATATATAATAATTAGTCAATAATATGCAAACAGCGATTCTAAGCACTCAGTCTGTCGTAGTAAATCTACTCAAAATATACATATATATTATCACATATATGTGTGCATATATATATATGTATATTCATAAAAAAAAAGAAAAAGAAAAAGAAAAACAAAAATATCAACGTGACTTTTTAGAAGCCCAATTATAAATGAAAATAAGGAAAACTATGTGGAGGAAGAGAAGAATATAAAACAACAACAAAAAAAAAAAATAAGACTTGTTCATAACGTACAATTCGAGATATAAAAAAAAAAACAAACAAACAAACAAAAACAAAATGGTACACATTGTACGAAATTCCATGGAGATCACATTTACGTACGCGCCCTTTTCCTTTATTTTATTTTATCATAATGTTTCATAATCGATAATCGATAATCGTTAATGAGTGAAGAAATGAAAAAGAACATTTAAAAAAAACAAATCATGCAGGAACACAAACCCGAAATATGATGATAGTAGTAACTTCAAGTGATTAAAACCAAGTGTGTAAAACGGCTTGACGAATATAGCACAAGATTATAAAACAAGAAGAAGAAGAAGAAGAAGAAGAAGAAAAATAAAAAGAAAACAAGACAAAAAAAAATATAAGAAGGAAGTAATAATTAAAAAAATAAAAAAACGTAATAATGCATGCTGAGTTTAAATGAAAAAAAAAACAAAACAAAAAAAAAACAAAAAAAAAAAGAAAAGAAAAGAAAAGAAAAGAAAAACTCAATCTGCCAAAAGAACAAAGAAATATAGAGAGGGGTGTATAAACATCACTAATTAATTATGCTCTAACATAATAGATAGTAACATTATCTTATAGAGGAAAGACAGCCTAAGAATTATAACTGTGTATAATAAGATATTTTGAGCTGATAGAAAAAATAACTTTTCTTCCATTTAATTACATTTTGGAGCATAATTTTGCTCACTAGTCAAGCAATTTTACTGTGTTTGTCATATCTTGTTTTGAAAGCTCACTATCGGTACCCTGTGTTAAACATCCATCATAGAAATGAAGGTACAACTAGAATTCACTATTACCCCCTGCCCACCTCCCTCCCTTCCCCCTTCCCCTTCTCTCTCCCTCCCCCTCCTCCCTCCCTCAAATGATTTTGAATTTTTAGTTGTAACAATGATTATCATCATTAGAATCAAAATAGCCACTGTGTTTGTATACATCTGTTAAAAACGTATAAACAACAATAAGAACTTTTTACAATGACAATATTACACATTGAATTTTATATAATTATCTCGTTATAATAAAACAAATATTTTTATCTTCTTCATTTAACAGGATGCAAAAGTTATTATTAACACTTTAATGGCCGCAAGTCTTCTACACAGTCAAACATAGCCAGGAGAGCCGGTATATAATATTTTTGAGAAATTAATTTAAAAAAAAAAAAACTGATAATAAATTTACGAAAAAAGTAACATAAAAAAAAAAAGAAACAATAACAAAAAATTTAAAAATATATAAAAAGTAATAAATAAATAACGGCTAATAATCACACAGCACATTGTTCCGGCTACTATTCACACGTATGTTGCGTGAGCGGCCATTAAAGTGTTAAAAAGTGTACAGCGATTCATTTGTTTGTTTTTTTTATGCAACATTATTTGAATTTCAAAAAAAAAGAAAAAAAATAGTATAAATATAAATTATCAAATTGAAACGACAAATGTATATAAAAAAAAAAAAAAAAAACGAAACACACAATTACATTTGTTGCTATTTCAGTGGCTATTTATGATAGCAGAGTACTACGATATGCTATCATGCATTATTGAGCAGGTATTGGAATTTATATTCACGATGTGAGTTATTTGTTATTACTGTAGTATAGCATTATAAAAAAAAAAAAAGAAAAAAATGAATAATGAGAGTTAGTAGTATGCCTTATGTTTCATACTTGCGATAATATATTGCAGGTGCACCATATTGTGGGATTTGCAAGCTTATTTATAATGGGTATAATAAATTAATCCACTTTTCTCTTATTCTAATTTCTGAATAGCATGAAATAATAAAGAGATTATTCCCAAGACAAGAAATAATGTTTTTGGACGCAGATACTTCATGTACAGTTTGTTATTCAATCAACCCTTTACACACACACCCTTTTTATAAGAATACTTTTACGAGAGTTAAATCTAATAATTTTTTTTTTTTTTTTTTTTTTTTTTTTTTATTAATCATCTTCCTTTGGAAAATATTTTAATCAATTTAAAGAAGGGGGATTGTAAGCAGTGATATTTAATTATAAAATACCAACACACACATATATATATTATTATTATTATTAATTATTATTACTATTATTAATATTATTATTATTATTATTATTATTATTATTATTATTATTATTATTATTATTATTATTATTATTATTATTATTAATAAA